GGCAAAATAGAAGATCGTACTGGGACCGTGAGAACCTGCAGCTTTGATCCCCCTGATTCGGAGATTTCATGGCCCGATACAACAACAGTGAGAAGGCTCGCTATGGTGTAACCAAAGAAGATCAACGAGACCTCTTTTCCGTGCCTCCTGATTATTCGCTCGCTCATTGTGTGGCCCGAGATTTGCGGATGTCCAGAGGAATCGCTGCGACGTTCAATGAGAAGTTTGGGCGTGTCGGAGAACTACGCCGACAGGATCCAGAGGTTGGAAGCGTCTTGAGGCTAACCGACAATGCACATGGTCAAGCAAGATACATCTTCTACCTGGTCACCAAGGAATGGTCTCCGAGTAAGCCGACTTATCTCAATCTATGGAAGACCCTGATTGAACAGAGAGAAGCCCGGCTAAACAACAACATTGCACGATTAGCCATTCCGAAGCTGGCGTGTGGACTCGATGGTTTGAGTTGGCGTACAATCCGGAACATGATTGAAGTCTTGTTCAGATTTACGGGAATCGAGATCCTTGTTTGCTGCTACAACCCAAAGCTGAGATCGGGAGAGATAACTGCAGACTGCTATTTCTACCAGACTTCGCAATGTACCAGGGGCCAGCTTTGCAAATACCTTCATTCACCGTGTACATCTCGGGACGAGCATGTGCCTAAGAAGGGGGCAGTGTTGCGGACCCGTGTGGACTCGACCTAACCTAACTATATGTCCCGCCCTCAGATGACCTTAACATCGCATTAAAGAATAGACACCGTAATGATTCATTCGTTCGAGAAGAATCGAGTCCCACTGGAATGGACTAGTACATACGAGAACATTCGAAAACCTTCTCTACGCACCTAACGATCTATGGACTATTCTAGAGTTCTTTACCTGTCAGTATAAAAGCCGGCGGCTGTGGCCTACGGGGGGCAGCTATAAATATACAGTTGACGCGCTAAAATTCAAAATAAATTCTTAGTTATAAATCGTTTGTAAATAGTTCTATAAGTCTTTTATCGTTATTGTTTTTGTTAATTAGTGTTAAATAAATAGTGTTTAAATAAATTGTGACTTTCTATCCACACGGAACCGACGAAAAACGTAACAATATTATTTTACAAAATCGTTTAAATCAATCCAGTTGTCTACCAGAGTAAGAAAGTTTGACAGCTTCTAAAAAATGGAGAAAGGACAAACGATATATTATAAAATTACTGATAGGGTGTTATAAATAACTTCCTAACAACAAGTTTTTATTCAATCCATGTACTAAAAGTAATAAAAAAAGTTTAGGTTTAAGAAAGGTCTGTATTTTAAAAAAGCGTTTGCGCGAATAATTTTTTTAATTTGCAACAGGGGTATGTAAACGGTATACAGTATACGTTTACAAAACCTATAACCTATGCTCAGCACTGCAAAAACTTGTCATTGAACATGAACATATTCATGCATATAAAAATTTACATAAATACATACATGTGAACTTACTTACTTACTTAAATTAACTTAAATAAAAGCTAATAATTGATAAATTTAAAACTTACCCTCAATTACGTTTCCAAAGGAAAAAAATGACGAAAAAAAATCCTGAAAACGCTACAAGGCGTAATACGTAAGTAACAGAGCCTAAGTGTACTTTATCTTTCTTCTGCAATTGAACTATAAATTATGTAAAAGGAGTAGCTGGATATACCATATTTCTGTCTTTAAGAAAAGTATTATATTAAATAACGCACCTTATACTGATATCAAACAAACAATGTGTGGACACAATGGCGTCTTTACCCTTGATCACGCTTATGAATACCCTGAGCCTAGATGTTTCATAGAAGACCCAACGTGATTGGGTAGATTTGATCATATGACAAGATTTTGTAGTGTCGAGTATAGGTTTCATATACGTATACCATATTCCATTTAGATTCCATCTGCTGTAAAAAGTTTAACGATATGATTGGTAGATCTAATCACGTGACCAGATTTTATAGTGTCGAATAAACGTTTCGTATATGTAGTCTATATACCATTTCTATACAATTTATTGATGCTGGTTATATACGTTTTTGAAATTCAGTTCTTTTCAATATTTTTATATTGGAGTTCAAATTTATTACAATTGAGGGTCGGAACCTTTGGTGTTACACAGCAAAATAAAAACACTAAATCACCACAATACACCAAAACACTTTTACTTTTACACTGGACGCGCGTTTCGCTAACCATGTTAGCATCTAAATTCAGCTGAGTTTATAATCATCTGCTGATGATGCTAACATGGTTAGCGAAACGCGCGTCCAGTGTAAAAGTAAAAGTGTTTTGGTGTATTGTGGTGATTTAGTGTTTTTATTTTGCAGTTCAAATTGATCAAAAAATCACAAAAAACAGTTTAATAATGACTTACTATGCCCTTTGTGTCTGAAATTTTCAAAAATTACGAATATAACTGACTTGGTGACAAAATCGAAATATTATATACCTACTTAAAATATATGTTTCGAATATACGTAAAAAAGCAGTATAATAATATTTAGTATAAAAACGTATATACTAAGATTAACGGAAAATAAAGCCCTTTAATATGCGTATATTATACGTTGCATATAAAAAAGTAATATGAAATACGTATATTATTTATACCTTTAAAAAAATATACGATATTTATACGGATAGTACGTTTATTAAACGTATAAACTCTTGAACGGTGTTGCTTGGGTAGGTTTTGAGACATGTTTTAGGATGTTAAAATAAAGGTTTATACGAGTTTACAGCCGGTTATCTTGAATTCCGAGATTCCTACCATATTTCGACTAAGATGACTGGACTAATTACTGTATAATGTTCCAGCAGCGTACTATACAGCGAGTACATAAAACCAAAAGATACAAATCCACAGAAAAAAATACAAAACCATTTCTTCAAAATATAGTTTTATCAGTCAAAATCCTCTCTTTAAAACCAAAAACTACTCTTAATTTCCTTGTTATTGGTCTGCGATAAATGTGAAAAGTTTCAATATGTCATAAAGCAGGTAAAAATATAATAATAACAATAATACACCTTGTAGCTACAAAACAAAGCAGAATCGGACCTATAGATTTATATGAAAAATAAATCTTATTTTTACGCGAGGAATCTCCCCACGAGAGATGGCACATGTTTTTTGAAACACCCTGTATAATTCAATATTTAAATGAAAAATGAATATTTTGAAATATCTAAGTAAATCCTTTGCGACTTTCGTAAAGTTCTCTGGGGGGAATCCAGACCCCCTGAACCCCCCCCCCCCACCCCATAAATATGCGACTGTCTTGGAGTCGATTTGTGTCTCTGGATACGTTCTGTCCTTTTCTAATATTTCTATAATTAGTGTTAATTTAAACAAGGTTTACCCCCTACTCCAAAAGATGTATATTTTCTAATAATAATAAATAACGCTTTATTGTACAAAAAGCCAAAATAGCTTCATCCACAAAGCATTTACAAAACAAACAAAAGCACAAAAAATATACAAATAAATACCATATTATACATATACAGGGTGGTCCAAACTGTATTCCGGAAACTTCGGCGGCATATACTGCAGATAAAAATAAGTAAAAAAGTTCGTATAAATGTATGTCTTAAAATGCTTAATTTCGGAGATACAGGCTGTAGAAGTTTTATTTTTATTTTGAATTTTTCCAAATAATTTCTGAAGTAACGTCAATATTTGGAGGAAAATTGGTGTCTGGGAGTTTTTTGATATGAGAAATTTGATTTTGATGTCAGTATGACTCCTATTTGTAGGGGGCGCCACCTACACGTGTTTTAACTGTTTTGAAGATTAATAACTTTTTGATCGTACCTGTATAAAACTACTGGGAGAAAAAATATACATTTCCGTGATTTTTTACGTAAAAAATGTCTCTTGGTAAAAATCGCTACGAGCAACCGTTCTCAAGATATTTAAAATGGAAATAGTCAATACGTGTCGTTATTGACAAAAAATAGACATGTCGAGTAAATAGTTATTTGACTGAAATGATAAATTTTGAGAACTTTTATTTTTTTGAATTAATCATAAAATTTTCTTCGAAAAAGTGATGTAAAACAGTTTCTGTTGAACTTTTGGCACAAAAACATTTCAAATTTATGATTTCAGTCTAATAACTATTTAATCAACGTGTTTGATTTATGTCAATGATGACAGATATTGATAATTTCGATTCCAAATATCTGGAGAACCATTACTCGTAGCGATTTTTACCAAGATACCTTTTATACGTAAAAAAGGGCGCAAATCTATATTTTTTTACTCAGTAGTTTTATACAGGTACGGACGGAAAGTTATTACTCTCTAAAACAGTTAAAACACACGTAAGTGGCGCCCCCTACAAGTAGAGGTCATATTAATATCAAAATCGAATTTCTCATGTCAAAAAATTTCCAGACCCAATTTTGATCCAAATATCCTTACTACAGAAATTATTTGGAAAAAATCGAAATAAAAATGAAACTTCTACACCCTGTATCTCCGAAACTAAGCATTTTAGGACATACATTTATATGAACTTTTCTACATATTTTTATCTGCAGAATATGCTCCCGAAGTTTCCGGAATACAATTCGGACCACCCTGTATATATAAAAATACCATAAAAATACCATTAAATACAAAAAAAATACGTCATTAAAATTAGAAATAGAACATACATGGACATTATAATTGGATGGACATGGAATAATATTTTTAATCACACATAAAAATGAAGTATTGTTAAAGTTATTGTGAATAATTAATAATATATTTTGAAAACTCAAATCAATTTTTATTTTGCAATTTTTCCAATACAAAACAAAAATTATAATTATACCATTTTGCAAATTCCTTTTGTGATTATTAGTTATCTACGGATAACATATTGAAAATCAAGAAATATTTTATTTTAAAATCTCTAAATCCGTATTGTAATAGTAGGTATATGAATTCAACATAAGTTTACAATATATTAAAATCAAAGAACTTACCATTTTCTTCCATATTTAAGCAAATTTAAAATTAAACTTGTAATCTGGTAATAAATTTATTTTAGACAAAAAGCCAAGAAACAAAAGCCTACTAAATTTAATTACCTTTCTATTGCCTATCTTTTTCACTTACCCACTGACATAATATTTTAAAATTTAAAGATTTGTTCTTTTATGGTATACCTGTTATAATATAAAAAGAATACATAATATTAATTTTTATCAATAAAAAAATATATATTTTCTTTTACAGATTTGTTAATTAAATTAAACTTTGGAATGGTTTCAAACATGTTCAAATAAAATTTCAATTTTCAATCTGAGCCATCTTGTGGCCGTGTATCGAAACTTTATGTCAATTTCCGTGATGTCCGTTGTAAATTGAAATGTCAAATTTTAGAGGATAATATTTTTTAGAAAAAGATAAAAAGAAAGGTTATAATAGTTGGTTGGTTTTTTCTCTTGGTGTATTAAAGGTAAATAAATAATAATCAGTAAATACAATAATATTAGGTAGTTTTTAAGAAGTGATAATATAATCCTTGTTTGTTGATTAACTTCATAAAAATGGAGGCAACAATTGAAACATATGGGTTGAGTACTTCTCAATTGCAAAATAAACAAGAGTGATTGATAACACAAAATAGTCAAATATTGCTTTGGTAAACCTAAATTGACGATGCATTTTATGAAGTGGTCTGTTAGCTATGTTGTATACAGGGTGGCCCAGTGTTCTCAAAAAGCTCTATAGCAACTTTTCCTGTGTATATTTTAACTTATATTTTTTACAGAGATTGCTGGCAATAGCCTACTTTTTAACTCATATGACACAGTGATTCCAATATACCGTATGATCGAAAAAAACGGCGTCAGCAATGGCTATGAAATGAAGATTGTTGTCATTTTATATGTAAATTTATATGGGAAATGTCATTGATTGCCAACTGGACGCCGTTTTTTTTTATCATACGGTATTTTTTACACAAATTTATTTTTTTAATGGAATGTTTACATTTTTTGCTGTCAATCTACCACATACCTTCTAAATTCTACATTTAGATATTCTGATATCTTCTGATATTTAGAATCTGCTATAAATATGTTATTGATACTTCTTAAATGGAAGTAGATATTTTATGTGTTTAGTCAAAAATATTCGTATTAAAACAAGCCTAATTGCTTGGTATATACAGAGTGAGCTGCACCTCGCCACTTTCTAGGCATGTAATTGTTATCTGTGCTGTTGGTATCTGGGCGACTATAATATACAGGGTGAATAATTCGACGATTCGATATTATTATTCAATTTTTTTTAATTCGGTCTTTCGGTATACTGGTAACAGGACCGGTACTTTTGAAATATTCCGGTATCGGTATCGTCTTTTGCAAGACCGGTTTGATGAAACCGGAAAAAATTGTTTCGGTACTGGTACCGGAAAACCGGTTTAAATCGGTCCCGAAAGACCGGTTTCAATAGCTACAGAAAAATAGATTCATGATAATATGAAAATAAAAAAACCTGTGTAAAAGGATTTCGGTGCCGGTTTTTGTGCAAAGATGATTGTGTTCTCCTTACTCTAGGTACCGTATGATAAAAAAACTGCGTCAGCGATGGCTATGAAATGAAGATCACTGTCATTTTATATATAAAATTATATGAAAAATGTAATCGACGTTCATTTCTAAGCCAACTGGACGCCGTTTTTTTTTTAATAATTTGGTATGTAATTTATTTTGATGTATGTTTAAGGCATTGCTAGTCTAGTTTGGTCTAGTAATCTAGTCTTTTTTTTTAGTACCTACATCTAAAATTCAAGTAAAACATCTTACTCATGGATCACTCATGTGTATTATACAGGGTTGTTTACCACATACGACACGGAGTATTGTAGCTAAACCTAAACGATTACATTTTTACAAAGTGTAAGTTTTGGGTTCGTTGAAGGACTATTAAAGCTACAATTTAAAAATATTTTTACAAGATACAGAGCGTCCCAAATAAATAAAAAATATCAAAATTGCGTTTTTTTTAAATGAAACACCCTGTATATTATTACATCTTTAGTTTCTACGATTAAAATAAAGGTAAATTTGATTAAGGTTTATGACACATTAAACCTTACCGTTTTTGAAATATTTTCAATTTTGTGAAATTGCAGTAAAATATTTAACACTTCATTTCTCCAAAGATATCAAAGTTTTTAATATTAAATATTTACTGAAGTTTATTTATTGATCAGTTATTGTGTTGCAATAATAAAAATGATACTACCTTATACGGAGTCTCTAAAAATTTATTTTAAATAATTTATAGCTTTAAAGGGCAATAACTTGTTTAATTTAAATGGAACACCCTGTATATTTTAGGAGAGTCAAGTGCACAATTTAATTGTCAATCAAATCGTATTATACCATTTTATACAGATCCCTTCAAATTTTCGTAGAAAATGCATTTTCTTATAATTTAGACCTCATTTATCAATATATCCATGGAATATTGATATTTAAGATTATTTTTAAAGCAACAAATGTACAGGTGCTAAAAACAATAATACCTATTACTAGCGCATTTGTATATAAAAGAAAACTATTTAAATCTTTATAAAAGAGTATATACAAATAATAATAATAAATAATATAATAATATATAATATATATACACCATTATTTCCGCCCAAATATTAATTAATTACATAGGTACTTAATTGTGTTACTTAATAAATTATTCTAAATAAATGTGGATTTGAATCAGAAATCAATATAATGACAAGTTATGAAAATGAAAGTCTCTGTTGTTATAAATAAGCATTCGTCAAAAAATAACATAAAATTTTTAAGGTGTTGTTGTCTTTTTACTGCACTGTCTTATACACATACTACAAAATTCAGTTTTTTAGTATTTGGAGCAATTATTATTAATCAACAATAAACGCAAACATTTTATTAATGTAGTTTGAATACTGGAATCATATTCATAATTGGTCCCCTTTAACAAATATTTAAACAGTTTTTTATATTTTTTAATGAAATAAACGAACTATATCGACAATATTAGTATCTGTACTCTTTAAAAATTTGTTACATCTTTAAAAATAATATAATCTATAATGTCAATATTCCATGGGTTTAATCAGTTTTCAATATTGATATATGAGGTCTAAATTATAAGAAAATGCATTTTCTACGAAAACTTGCATTTTCAACTTGAATTACTTAGGTAAAAAATGGTATAATACAATTTGATATACAATTAAATTGTGCATCTAATTCTGATAAACTATACAGGGTGTTCCATTTAAATTAAACAAGTTATTGCCGTTTAAAGCTAGTAATTATTTAAAATAAATTCTGAGACACTTAATATAAACTACGTATAAAGTAGTGTAAGTAGTGTACACTACGTATAAAGTAGTGTAATTTTTATCATTGCAACATAAAATTTAGTAAATATAAGTACTCCAGTACAATATTTGGTTTTAAAAACTTAAATACGCCTAGAGCAATGAAATATTAAAATTATTACTGTATTTTGACAAAAAGCTAAATATTTCAAAAACGGTAAGATTAAAATGCGGTAAACCTTAATCAAATTTACCTTTATTTTAATCGTAGAAACTAGAAATGTAATGATATACTGGGTGTTCCATTTAAAAAAACAAAACTTTGATATTTTTTATTTATTTGGGACACTCTGTATCTTGTAAAAATAGTTTTAAATTGTAGCGTTAATAGAACCTAAAACTTACAATTTGCAAAAATCTAATCGTTTAGCTACAATACTCTGTGTCGTATGTGGTGAACAACCCTGTATAAATATAAATTAAAATGTCCGTAAAACTCAGGCCGATATTCAATAGCGTCTACTATATTATTTAAAATATGAAAAAAGCATCTTATTTCCGCTCCATTTAAATCTCCAAGAACAGCAGCTTCCAGTACTTTTTCCACTTTTCATAAGTAAAGAGAATGTTGGACAAGAAATCAAGAATATGCCGGAAATGTGAACATAAACAATGAGAATCTTAAGTTAGATCAATTACGTTATAACGGTAACGGATAGATTTACGATATATTCCGAGAAATCTAATTTGTCCCTCAAAATATCGTATTTATTACGTTACCGTATTTATTTATCGTTACAGGCACGAGAGCTTCCTATTTACATTTTTAATACGGTTTCGTGAGGTAGGTATATGCTTACTGGCATAACAGCCAAAACTGTTATTTCTGTCTTTCCGATATTCCAGTTCAAGGCCAGGACACACCTATCATGCACGTTTCCGATCCGGCTCCGATCATACAGTCGGTCCGACTGATTTGGACGACTGTATGAGAGGGAAATCGTACGTTATTTTACCCAGCGTAGTTTACACCTTTCCGGTACGTGATTCATCCCCGCTCCTACTCGACTCCGTTCCTGCATCCGTTCGTGTTCCGATTTCCGATTGTCAGTCTATTCGTCGATGCCGGCTGTGGGATGAGTGTGGTTTTGAACTATTTTGTTTATTTTTGTTTTTGCTGTGTTATTTTTAGTTTTTTACTAAAATAATAAAAATGTCAACAATAAAACCGGAGGAACTATTTGAAGAAGTGAGGAAATATCCAGTGCTGTATGACCAGACCAAAGAGCAGTACCGAAACTTCGACTACAAAGACATGAAATCTGCGTTTTGGCTGTTTTCTATAAAAGCTTTCTCATTTTCCTTATCTTCTTCTTCCAAACAAAGTACCACCATGGCTAAATCACTATTGCTAAAATTATTAAACACTATGCGCACACTACTTCGTGCGATGATTGGTGAATCAAGGCTGGCGATTGTATCCAGCCGAAGCCCGAAATCGTGAAGGAGTCGGAAGCATGTAGGACATGTGTGTACTCACCATTTCCGATCCCACAGCGATCCGCTTCTGGGGCAAAATCGGACCGGTGCCGGATCGGAAACGTGCATGATAGGTGTGTCCCGGCCTTTATCCGGTACAACCGGTCTTTCGGTACATCCGGTTTATTGTTGGAACGGGTATACCGGTTGTAGGAAGTGTTTTGGTGTATTGTGATGAATTAGTGTTTTTGTTGCTCCACTATTATTGATCGCATATTTTGTAAAAAAAGAACAGAGTAAAAATTTCAAATAAGAAAACAGCTATGGAATCTTTTGGGACCACCGTGTTGCCCTGTTGAGATATAAAATAGAGAATAGCTAAATAGGAGTGTGGGATGT